ACTCATAATGTGTTAAATATATTGAACCTTACAGGTTGTTATAATATTTTATTATTAGACTGACTTACTCAATAAAACTATTAGCATTACTTATTAAACGATAGATAATGGAAACTTTAATAACATTTTAAATGGTAATATATTATGATTAACACACTGTATTCATATCATTGACAAACTCCAATCATCACATATATAATTTCATTAAAAAAGATATTTAAAATCTTTTTTATGATATTAAGGCTGTATATATAATTAATTAGTAASTAACTATTTATGTAGTTCATAATACGCAAATCCTGTAATGACTACTAATATAATTATTTATTTATATACACCAAATTTAAATTATAATATATTTTGGTATTCGACACAGTTATACYTTTACTAATTAAACTATAAAATGTAAGCTAGATAATGAACCCTAGAATAGCCTCGTTTGACTGTTTTTAATTAAAACAACATTTGTACAAAGTAAGCAACTTGACCTGTTTGATGGAGATCTGAGTGAAGGCTTCTTGTAGAACATAACCAGTACAACAATATTTAAAAAAGCTCCAAGTACAGCTAAAAAACCAACGCACGTAATTTTGACCACTGTAACGAAAATAAAAACAAACATAATATAATTATTATTTTTAATAATAATRCAGGATAACTTTAGCAAAAACATAACCCGCAAAATATATTTATCATATTTGTTTTGTAGATCAAAAGTATTTGAACATCAGYACAAATGTATGATGTTTTTTTTACATAAACACAGTAGGTAATTGAATTTAAAATAAAAATATTTTCTCAATTACAATAAAATATTCAAAGAAGACAGTTTTGGAAAAATCATTAACTAACTTAACCTCAGTTTATTTCACTTAGTCACATAGTATGTATTTACAACTTTCTACACATATATTTCCAAAGTCCAACTTATTCTCACTTAAGAACGTCTATGTTCTATAAATATATTAATCAACAATAAGCATAAGAATCTCCCACAGTTGTTCAAGGGCAAATRAAGAACCCCTAATATGCACAKTCTACGGTGTCAAAATCACCATCCACCACATTTTCACTGAATGCCAAATATACCACAACATCAGAACAAGTAACAACCTGTCTAAATCACTAGCCAAAATTCTCAACAACCATCCCAAAGCTATATCCAACATCTACTCGTAATTCATCACACCCACCGATTTCCAAACCAAAATTTAAAATCAATATTTAGAATAAGTACACAATATATGTAATAGATTGAATTATTTTTAAACCCAAT